AGTTTTCATAGTAGTCCTTGCCAGACAGGTTCCCCTGACGGAACTGACCTGACAATCTTTTGAATTCATTGAATCCATCAACGTCATAGTTCAAATGTGTTTGAATTTTATAAATTAGATCCATATTTCTTTGTTTAAAGTTACTAGGCTCGACAAACACAGAGGCAACTGAGAATCTTGGGGGTGGGTTAAAAGTTGATCCCTTATCAAATCCTGGAGGTGGGATTGTTGTTGGCAGTGACAATCCTGGTGGATATCTTTTAGGAGTCTGTAGTGGAAATCCAGGTGGCATTCTAGTTGTTGAATCAGAATCAATGTCTGATGCTTTAGAATCATCTTCCGATTTTGAAATTTTCTCTGTTTTTGTACAGATTACAGATGGATTGTCCATATAAGGGGGCTTGGATTGCTCTGCCATCGCTGAAGTTGATAAGTCTTTGGTGTGCAAACCATTAGAGGAGTTAAATTTCTTTTCTTTCTCAGGATTTGAGTTGGTAGTTTGTTTGTTCTTTTCTTTAGAGGGCTTTGGTATCACTGCCTTCGCTGAAGTAGATTGGTCCTTGGTGTGCAAACCATTAGAGGAGTTAAATTTCTTTTCTTGCTCAGGATTTGAGTTGGTAGTTTGTTTGTTCCTTTCTTTAGAGGGCTTTGATCTCGCTGCCTTCGCTGAAGTTGATTGGTCCGTGATGTGAACACCATTAGAGTTAAATTTCTTTTCTTTCTCGGGATTTGAGTTGGTAGTTTGTTTGTTCCTTTCCTTAACAGGTTTCTCTTTGATTTTCTCTTTCTGTTGACTTGTAGCTTGTGAATGCATCATGATTGGATTTTTTGAAGATGTTTTGGTGCTTTTAACTTCAGCAGAAGCTTGTTTATGTATTGTCCAGGATTGATTTGATTCTGGTGCTCCTTTTAGAATTTCAGCTATAGAACTAAGGGTTGGGAAGTCCTCATAGGATTGTGTAGGAGGTGGTGGTGGTTGAGGATGCAACTGCAATGCCTTTTTCTTTTTATCATGCAATATGGCATTAGCTGCTATTGCTTTACTAAAGTCAACATGGAGTTCAGACTTCTGAGATACTTTAGATGAAGCAGAACCATCAATTGGGGTGGGCACAAGCTTACGTAGATTTGCAGAAGATCCAAGTGCAGGAAACTCATTGGCATCTGGTACTACTTTTCCCCAACTACTTCCAGATGATGTTACAACCTTACCAAGAGAAGGGAAATCAGATTCACTTAAAGACTGATCAATTTTCTTTGTTTGCATGGGTGTCGATTCAATGCGTACGGAAGACATATTTTTCACTGATTTTTGTTCTACTTTGTCTTCACTTTTTGACTGCAAGTCATTAGATAATTTTGAAATATCTTTTTCATTTTTCCAGGTGCTCTCGGTAAACTGACAACTTGTGAGTTCAGTTCCAACACTCCAGTCAGAAGATGTATTCTTTTGATTATCAAAATTAGATTCTGGTTTATATTCCTTTTTTTGTTTACTTGGAACAGCAGCAAGAGCTGTGGCAGTTGCAACTGCCACAGCTGGTACTGTTACAACAGCAACTTTGGAAGCAGCACGTCGCTTTTCAAATTCATCTTCTTTGATAAAAGGTGTTTGCTTTTCTTCATCAGGTTTAACATTTACTTTTTGTAGATTTTCAGTTTTTTCACCCCTGGGTTTGTCACCCCTGGGTTTGTCACGCCTCTTTGGTGGTCTTTTCTCTTTTGCAGTATCACGTTGCTCAGTTTGCAAAGATGCCTCTAATGCTCTTGCAGTGTCATCATGTTCCCTAAAAAGAAATGTTTTAAAAATTCAGTTTAAATATGCCTTGCGTGTCTAAAGGTGACAAACTGTTACTTGTTTATTTCCTCTTAGTCAGTAGTAATTTTCCTTGCTATATTTTTCCTTGCTTGGGGAAGGTTATTTTTATACCTTGTTTAGCAAGCCTACTGACCACCAATGATAAATAATGATAAAAATACAATTTTATTTAAGTTAGTGCACAGGCTGCAATGAAAAAAGTATCTTTTTTATAAAAAGTTTCCTAAACAAGGTATAAACGTCTCATCTTATCTTTCTCAAGGGTAATTTATGCAGACATTCGGTAGGATACCAAATTGATACTGTTCATCTACTCAGATGTACTGATGTCTGTAACTGTTAAGCTTATACACGCTTTATGATTTGTACAGATCTCAGAATCAGACTACAATAAACATACCTATTAGATTGATTTCGAAATCCACGCCCTCTTCCACGGTACGATCCATGAGTTTCATTGTAATCTGCACCTGTAACCACACCTGTAAAATAAATCACATCATCTAAGTCATACACAGTTCAAAGGGTATAAGAACAATGCACAAACTCACAGTGTGCTAAATTGTGTTTGACTACAGTACTGTAAAAAAAAATAGAGGTACTTATAGATTCGTGTTCACATCATTTAAAACAATAGGGGCTGAAATGAACCATAGCTCGGTGGTACAGTAACTCTATACTCTACCAAAAGATGCAAATGGTCCTTTAAATTTCACACAAAATACATATGTATACATTTCCATTTGAAGTCGTTATCTGACATGACTTACTTTGATAATAGGAGTTCATTTCTAGACTCACTGGAAAGCAATGGATGCATTTTTTTGTCTTTCTCCTTATTTTGTATATATTTTGAGACACAGTGCAGCAGTGTGTGGCCTGCAGGAGATTGAAACATTCAACCTTACGGGCTATTGTTCACTCTTGATCCATTAAAAAAAAAAGATAACAATGATTACTAGCCAGCTTACCGTCCCTGTGAGTGCTCCTATGGCTTGCGTAGTTGAATTCCCAGTCCAACTGGCGTGCTTGTTTAGCCTCCTTCTTGGACATGTGCTTCGATGCCTTGTGAGCCTTAAGGTCAATCTTGGAGCGAAAGGCTGCAGTAAATTCCTCATCAATGCAAGCACCTTCCTCACATAGATAATGCATTTGCCTGAAGTGTTCTCGGAGATTTTCATAATTACTGGTGGATGGAAAGTGAAAATGATAATTAAAAATCTACATTTAACGTACTGTAGGGGTTAGTGTAAGATCATTTTTTTTTTTCAAATAATGTCTTTCTAGAGTGATGTATCCATGAACTAGTAAAAGGAGGTGGGGGTTACCCCCTTCCCCCAAACTAGCAGCAGCCAAAAAAATCACTAACCCATTGCGAAAATGGTAAAAAAACTTCTAAGTTTTAAAGGGGCTATGCCTCTGGATCCCACAACTCAAAAAAGAAAACCTAATAAGCTGCCTTCTTCCGATCATAGGTTCTGCCCCTTTTGGATTTCATGTCCTCAACTGCTACAAGCAGCAAAAAATTCTGGATTGGGCACTGCTCTACCAGGTGTATAAATTACAATCCACTGACCAGAGTTATACAGTTTTGATAACAGTATAACAAAAATGT